GCTTCAAGATTCTGCTCCCAAATCACTCACATTCTCACTCCTCCCTTCATCTTATCATGTATCATTTTTTGCAACCCTAAACTTGATGATGTTTCAGTTGATAAATCTGAAATCTAACCTGGGTAGTAGTGATAGTAGTTTCATTATGTATTGGTATATGTATTGTGAATTTTAATCAATGAAAATGGTGACTTTTTTTAATTGCTTGTTGATATTACTCTAATTTTAATGTTATTTATCTCCAATCTTATGTTATCTTATTGGATGATCATGAATATCAAGGAACAATGAAGATAATTTGGGTGGACTTTATTACTGGAATGAAAAGATACAAATGATATATCTTGTAATTAAAATAAATAAGTAATCTAAAACGATATTAATAATGTCGTTGGCCTAGATCTAGGTGATATAAAACTTTGTATAAACCTAAGCCGTTTCATTAGATCTACATTTATTAACATTAATTATTTAATTGTATTTACTATTTAGCCATTTAGGTTGTAAATAATTCAATTTGAATTAAGCAGTTTGTAATTGGATAAGTTTAAACAGGTTGCGATTCGAAAACAGTTCGATTTTAACGGTTTAACGGGTTATGGCAGTTCTGTTTAGACGGTTAGCGGATTATAACGGTTCGGTTTATACGTGCGGTTTAAACGGTTTCGGTTCATAAACGGGTCGGTTTAAACGGTTAGCGGGTTACAAATGGTTCGGTTTAAACGGTTTTTTTTTTCGGTTTAAACGGTTTCGGTTTATAAACGGTTCGGGTCATTAACGGGTTTATAAACCATTCGGTTCGGTTTCGTTTCGGTTCGGATTTGCGCAGTTTGGCTTGTTATCGGTTTACGGTCCGTAACGGGTTGACATTGAGCGGTTCAATTCGGTTTCGGTTTGATATTGAACGGTTCAGTTCGATTTTCGGTTTACATTTATCGGTTTATAAACGGATCGGTCCGTGATGGTTCAGTTCGGTAACGGGCGGTTTCACGGTTCGGTTTGAAAAGTCCCACCCCTATTGGATATTGAAATTAGTTGGCTATGATAAATTAGAAAAGAACTTAAAAAATGGAAGAAAAAAAAAACTCTTAGCACTAGTTAAAGGAAATAACGAAGACCATTATTTTACAAATAATACAACCATCATTTTAAACTCATAAACATCCCTCAATTATTATTATGAAATATAAAGTATGATTTCTTAATGTGTGCTCACGGACACATTTGATGAACCGAATATTAAAAGCTCATTTTAGTAGTTTTTGCAAAACATTTAACAGAAACTAGTTTTGGTAGGGTTTTACAGAACACATACTACCTCAAAAGCTAGGGTTACAAAATTTTTCAAAGTACTTTATTTGCTAGTAGTGATTTAAAAATTTTGAAGGTACTCAAAAAGTCATTGTCGAAAACACCCTGAATTGATAGTAAGCATCATTCCAGTCTGCTGAACTATCTCCTACTTGAAGCTGGTGCATTAGGAAAATGTCAAGTCCATAATCCATCAGGGGTAAATTGCCACTTACCACATAGGTAATTGAAATATCTAGGGAGTGGAGAAGAAAGAACCAAATGCTTTAAGCATGGAAGCACCCCATTGCGTTTAGGTCTGGTTCTAAAGATGTAGATGACGACATCACCCTTTTTCGAGAAATTGATATCAACATATGGCAACCTTCATCTTCCAAAACAGGGAAAACCCCATCACGCACTTCAGAAACAAATTACAGTGCACAAATGGCCTTCTGCAGACAGACCAATTGAGGGAGCATTGTCATCTAATCTTCCACTGTCATGGTTGTGTCATTTCAGGAGCAGGAATCATGTTCAAAATCTTCAACAAGAATGTCAATGTGAATGCATGTTCCTGGAGCTTCTCAAATCTGAAAATAAAAGATGTGAATGCATGTTCAAGATGCAGGCTCCGAGTACATCACACGTTGATCTGCCACAGACACAGCATAATTTGGATTTGAGATTGGGTCAAAAAAAAAATACTATATAAAAAAACTGAACTGAACTACAACAGAGTGCCAGTGTCTGTAGATCAAAAATTTGAAGATAAAACCTGCCACACCTGGAAAGATAAACCTCTTGCAGCACAGCTGGTGGCTGGTTATAAACAGCAATAAAGAAAATGAATTTTAAGTGAAATTTGGCAAGCAGAGTAACATTCTAACATCTAAAGTAATACAATCTCATCCCCAAATTTGTATTTTTTTTTTTTACTAAAAATAATGTCTATTATTACTTTAATAGTCAACACCGCCCCAAAAGTTAAATAAAGAGATAATTTGGGTAAGTTAGCATTACCCAGGGAATGGAGTTGATTTTTCATGCCCATTACCACTATATGCTACCTCTTACTGTACTAAACAGCTGTTTGGAATAAGGACTCTTCTGACTACAAATTTCATAATCAGAAAGAAGCTTCTTTTCCAAGGATAACAGAAAAATTGATAAATTGTTATAGATGAATGGTGAAGGGAAAGTTTCAAAGATATTAAACTAATAAGGTTGTCTACTATTGCTACTTCTAAGGCGCTTTTGGCAAAAGAAATAACCAGAAAGCTTCCAAAGGATTGGAACCTCTTCAAGTGATCAAGCACATTGTACACACTGTCAAAGACAATAGAAGATTATTGATCTAATCAGATAAACTTTTGTATAATGAACGAACGACTCTTGCGCTAATGAAACTGAAGCGTTTGACAAACCCAAAATTGCAGTACTTACCATGCAAGCCAGCCGTAACCAGTATATGAGGATAGTTTTGCGCTTTGACCTGTTCACATCAACAATTTTTCAATCAAAATGACAGCTCTCTAGAGTCTGGAATCAAGGCTAAAAAGAGTTACTCATAGAATGAAATATCCTAGAACTCACATTACCAACAGGGGAATATGATTTCATGTAGAAATAAAACTCCTTTTCCCGAGGATCACCCCATTCCTGTAACAACGCACGCCATGCTATAGTTGCTTAAAAAGAAAAAAAATATTATGGGGGATGATTGGATAAATACTTGGTACATACTATAATATGCATCCCCTAAATATATACATTTTTACAAACTTAAATTAGGAATCCTATAATAAATAGAGGGGATAAGGTGACTTGAAGTCTAAAACACAATGAATATTGGATTTGAGGCCCTCTTAGATGAGGAGCCCTGTGATGTTGGTCACTTTGCATTGCCCTCATCGACAACCATGCAGCTGATGATCAATGCCTGCTAGCTATATATCTGCATATCTTTTATTCTTATGAAATATACTTCTTATAACTCATAACATAATCTAAACAACAAAGTTGGTTCAAGGTCCAGTAAAATCTGAACAGGGGTCTAATACTATAAGTCCAATCCGTCTTACAATTACTCCAGGAGCTGTATGTGAACCTCAAAACATTGGAAGAAAACTGCGACTCCAGATGGTGCACATCATATGCAGGATCAACAAAGTCAACATAGATAGAGGCCCCCAAATAGGTTTTCAAGCGGCTGATCAATGGCAGGAAGGCGATAGACAACTACTTTCAGGAGACCGCCTTCATTCTCATAAACAACAAGATGGTTCTGAAAAAGCTGGAAGTCACTAATTTTTAAGTTGCACAAAAGTGAACCAACCAGAAAGCTTAGGCAAACAAAATGAACTGGAGGGAAACATATTATTAGAGGTACATGTACCCGATGGTATCGATACAATGATCTAGTAATGATATCCCGTATCCTTTGTTTATTTCCATAAAAGCCAAGAGCAGAATTATCTATAAACATAAAATCTCTATAATTAACCATACAAGAACAGTAGAAGCATCAAATCCCCCACCCGGTCACTAAGGTATCTCAGTTTAAAAAGCCTTATAGAAACAGCTGAAACTGTTTTGTCCTTCACTAATTACGAACCACAAATAGACAACACTCAAGAAAAGCAAAGCTAAAAGGTGGTTAAATCTTTCCCGTGATGAGGAAAATTGTTTCAAAGGAAGCAATTACAGTGAAATAGGAACCACCCCAAAGAATGAGGTCAGAAACCAAAAGTAATACTCCTAGTTGGTAGAGGAGTAAAAAGAAGCAACCTTACCTTAAAAGCATCAATGCAGTAGTATGCATATATACTTGTTAGCCTTAACATTCTCATCCAATAGAATATGTTGAGGAGGAGCATCAGGATCAGTTGGCATTGTATCATGCACAGACAATTCGACGTCTTCTAATCACCTTTGTTTGGAGGAGGGAATGTTGGATTGAATTAGAAGGTGAAAACTATAATACACGCAAGGGCATGTTCATCCATTCATGATTAAAGTGTGAGCGTCGTTTAATAACCACGCCATGTTTTAAGAGTGAATAAGAGCATGTTTTGTTCAGCTTAATTTTTGTTCAATTCAGTTCAGCTCCAATCAATTCATTTCAGTTCCTAATTTCCTTCTCTCATAAACAATTTATTTTAGTTCATCCCCTATCAGTTCAGTTCAATTCAGTTCATCTTCAATCAGTTCAATTCAATTCAGTTTATCCCCAATCAGTAAATCGGAATAGGCCCTAAGTCTCTTAATGAGACGGAATTATATGACAATTTCATGCAGGGTTGAAAGTCTAAACACTAAAAAGAGAAATAGGGTCTCCTTTTCGTTGTGTTCCTCATAGAAGCCACCGAGTTGACCTCAAGGGCCGCACAAACTGGTCGTAAGGAGGGTCACGTCCTTGGAAAATCTGAATTCAGGGTGGGGAACGGAAAGGGGAGCATACCGCTCCTGGAGTTGCTTTAACCATCAATCAATAAATAAAGAGCTTAAACTATGCTAATAGTTGTTCTTTTGGCTTTTGAGTAGTTGTAAGGCCTTTAGGGCAGCTATAACAGAGTTGCATAAATATATAATCACTCACCAGTTCACACTCCCCAGCAACTATATGTGCGGTATCATTTGACCTTCAGCAAATGAAACATTTTTCATTATTTTATATGCAATCTAAAATTTTGATAAAGAAACATCAATAGATTAGAAAAATGATGCAAATATACCACTAGAAACAAGAAAACATTTGATCTGAGTTATCACAAAGCATGACCGAACAAGAGGGCATTTTTTTCTGGCGCGATTAAAGCATTTACTGACAGAAATGTAACATGAATGAGCCAGCATTACCAAGAATTCATACCCCTTCCTAAAAATTATAAATTTGAAAAATCAGATCAATTAATAATTATACAAGTCTTTAAATTCTGAGAGAAAATGTCTATAAGAAATATGGGACCCCTGTTCTCGGCCCCCTCATCTGATTGTTTTCTTCTGTCTCCGTAAAGAACTTCACCTCCCTCTCCTGTTACACATGACAAATTACACTTTAAACGGTGCTTCCATTACAGACAGCAACAACATTTTAAAAAAATATAGCTTCTACATAAGTTGATTTAGAAAGAGGACTGCATAAGACCAGAAAATAAGAAATATTAAATCTTTAACCATGCATTTTACATATAGACAATATGACTGCGTCTGAAAATTAGCCAAGAATAATGTAATCCAACAGTCACATCCAGCAATCATAAAACTGTATCACCTACATTCCCCATGATTCAACCTACTGGTTGTGACTTGCATTTTTTAGTTAACACTAGGCAATCCCATTAATTCTAGACGCCAAAAACTCCTTAACATAACAGGCAACTTGATAGTCCAGAAGATCCCAATATCATAAAAGATTCTAGAGACGTCCCTGGAATCTTTTGGGACTTGGGAGGTAAAGTTAGCAATAAGAGTTCAGATTGCTAAATGCAGAAATTCTTCCTATACATATGAATCACAAAGAGATCAAGGCTCATGTTGAGGAGAAACATGAAACTAAATTATAAAAAGGACAAGATCATAAGATGATTTAAAACATAAAGCGTGGACATGACGGCTGCTGTAGACAGCAAAGAGGAATTATATGACAATCCATATCAAGTGTAGCCATCAAAGAACAAAAGCACTAGTATTTGATGGCTTCACTTCCAATTGAAGGGGCTTCTCTGAGAAATTATAGAGATAAGTATGAGACTTACATACTATTTTTGGCCCATCTCTCTCGATATTGCCCAAATAGTATTCTTACAATCTAATGATAATTCGTACGTAAAAAGTTTAAAAGTAGCCGCATATGTATATTTTTTATATTTGTCTAGCTCTTTTTCTGTGTTCTCTTATCTTTTGGAAATTTGTTAGTGGTAATTGTACGGGTCATTCCTGCATGTGTTTTCTTGTTGACTGTTCCCTTGAGGTTATTTAAAATCAGGCAAGTTTCTCCCAGCAAGCAAAAAATTTTAAAATAATAAGAAAAGAACATGAGAGAAAGGATAGGCTATCATTTCAGATAACCACAGGTCAACACAATCATGCTTATTCATGCAGTCAGTTTATTTAACCACTCCAGTGGAGGGAAAAAAAAAAAAGGTTACGCCAAACTCACCATATTGTCATTGAAACTCAAAATTGAAGCAACATTCCCACAACGGTAACAGTAATTTGGTGCTGACCACACCTGTTAAATCAAAGCCAAATCCTTCAACGGAATTGTAAACATTTTTTACAAAAATTATAAATAAGGAATCAAAGCAGCAAATTTACCGTTACAAGGCCCTTATCTTGAAACATGTACTTGAGACCTTCTTGTACAAGCTGATGAGCTCGACAAACTAAATCAAGATTGTTTATGTGGTTGAACTGCGCATTTAGAATTATAAAGGTAGTACATTTATCAAACAAACTGTGCAGAACATAATAATAATAATAATAAAAAAAAAAAAAAAAAAAAAAAAAAAAAAGACATGCCTCAGTTGTCACTCTAGATCCAAAAAGCCATCCTGCACCACGAGGACTGACAGCCCATGTCTCAATATCTTCAGGATCACTCCACATAAGGTCACAAAATGGCCCTTCATGAGGAATTTCACAATTTCGTTCAATAACCCTTATCTGCTTATTGACAAGTCAAAAAAAGAAGTGAAATCAAAATTTAGCTCACTATAAGCAAATTTATGATCATAAGCTCATGCATCTATACAACAAAGAAGAAAAAAAAGAAGTTGGGGGGGGGGGGGGGTTGTAAACCCAGTTTGGCAAAAAAAACAAAATCAAGATTTCCTTATAACTAATGGTAAATGAATTTTTTTGGAAAAAGAAACTTGAATATCTACTAAATATAGAAACAAATAAAGTCATATAATCACATTTAGAATATCAGGGGTATTGAACATTTTGCAATGTATAAAAAATGCCCACAACAACAGCATATTGCAAAATGACATTGAAACTAGAAGCAGTGACAGAACCTGATCAATCGTTCGAATATCAGGTGAAAGACCACCATGAACACATAGCACCTGCAAGATCAAACTGAGATGATTAGCCAAGAGAGGAAGGACAGGGTACACAGATTCTCAGAGTAGTATTTGTGTCATGATAGAGCAATTAATTTTCAGGATCAAATGATGCGACAGGAAATTTTTTTAAAGAAGATTGTAAAAAAGACCATCAAATACTCTCAACCTATTCACACGTACTTTCTCCAGAGTTTTTAGCTGCAGGCTGCAGCATTTGACTTTTACACGATTCACGCATTCTACTCGGACAATTTTAGGTTTATACTTTAGCAATGTGAAATCTTGTTAGGTGTGCCTCAACACAAACTTTGAAAACCAACTTTTTTTTTTCACTTTTTTTATGCATTGACAAGCTTGAAAATAGGACAGTTGCAACTAAAAAAAACCAGTGCATGATGCTTCAAATTAAAAACAAAAACACAAAAATAAAATTAAAAAAAAAAGGGATATGAACATTGAAAGGTGTCAAATGTACAGTCTCCACCCACTATTGACAAAGATGATCTTACTGCAACTGCAACCACTGACTTCCTAGCCAGAAATGGATTATACTACCGTTACACCAAGAATAAGAAGAAAGAAAAAAAAAAACTACTTACAGTTCCATTTATAATTGCCGAGAGAGTCAGATAATCAAAAACATCTGTGCAATATCTCCATGCATTGGCATTTCCATACTTCCTCTGGCACTCATCATAAAACCCATATACCTGAGGAGAAAAAGGTCATTATCCCATCAATCAAACAAACCTACACACTCAACTATCCTGCAATAGTCAGGGGAAAGGTGATCCCGATTACAACTTTAAGGAATCATCAGAAGTACATAAAGTAGAGACTTAAACTCTTGAGGTTATTAACTTATTACTACACATTTTACATTCAAATATTCAATGAAACTAGATTGGTGCCCCATATCAAGCATGGGCTTAAAATTCTGTTAATAAGAAAAATACAAATTTTCTATGTTTGACAGTATTTTCTTTTTTTAGGAATATTTGATAAGTAATATAATTAAAGAGGGATGATTATACACGGTAAATTATGTCATAGTAAGATATGGAACGTTTCACATTCATAATTGCCATTATATTTTCATGTTTTTATAAAATACAGCTACTTCATATTCCGTACTTGTCAAATTACATAGAGGGATACTAGGCATGTAAGGGGCATGCCAAGTGTTTTCTTGGCAGATCTATTTGACTCCATATATAGACTATTGCTTATGATGATGATACCTTCATAAACTGAGGTCTCAAGACCTTCTAAGCCAGTATAATTAAAACTCACAACATTAATAAATGGAGAACAAAAGAAAACCATACTTTCGTATTTGAAATTTCAGGTAAATAATCCACAATGAAGATAACTGCAAAGTACGCAGATGAAATTTTAAAATATTCAAACACCTGCATCTCTCTACACCAGAAATATAAATAGCCTATCATTCAACAAGAAACGCAATCGGAAGCTGCAGAATACCACTCATAAAAAGACTTCATCAACAGAGAACACATCAGCACTTTCCTTAAGCGCGCCAACAGCTCAATACCAAAGTAAGGAAGACATTAAATATATAACAACATTATCACCCATCACCACCAGAAAAGACTAAGAAAAAACAGAGAAAATAAGCCTCAACTAGTTAGTTTCCATAAGTATATATACGGCATTAGATGTCACGTATAGTGGGTAACATTAAGCTTAATCATATTACAATACATTATACCACAGGTACCATCTTTACTCAATGCAACCAAGATCAAAACTTATGGATCATGCAAATCAAGGCAAAAGCACTGCCAGTCTAGTTGCATTTTATTAAGTCTAATAATAAAAAAAGCCTTCCATACCCAGCCTAGAGTGCTTACTAGTTACCTGTCCAGATCACTAAGTAAATATTTGAGTCCAATGGAAATGGGCCTGAATTGGGACAATTGAGTACAGAGATTGTGACATTTGAATAAATCTGACAGTATTCAAAGAGATGGGGAAAAGGGATGATAATATATGAACTTCTAAATCAAAGGTTACCATCTAAGGCCAGAGAGATTAATTTATTTTGAAAAGTGAGGTTTTTTTATCTAAAATAAGAAAAATACTCAAGTTGCAGATTACGCAGCAGTGCACAGATGCTGTTTAACAGAAATTAAGGTAAAAAAAAAAAGAAAGAAAAAAAAACAGGGAGACAAATAAAAGGTGGAGGCAAAATGTATTGTGTCCTTTCTACATCCCAAAAGATAACAACATCAAGTAGCGCTAACCTTATTTCTGACAATTTAATCCTGCATAAAAACTATATTAGAAATAACTGACAGAGGCATTAACTTTTAATATTAATTCCTATTTTTTTCCACACAAGAGCCTTAAGGGCAGCTAAAGCTCTGCTTTGCTGCAAGGGAACTTCACTTAACCTACAAAACCCCCCTAAATGAGTAGGTTAAGTGATTCCTGAAATGCCTCCACTTTCAAATCATTACATCGTGGCAGTTTTCAAAGATATAACTCACATTGTACATGTCAAAGAAGCAGGGGAAGATGACAAAAACAAGTCTTTGACAACTACAAAGCTAAAAAATAATATTCTCCAGATAAACAGCATGCCCATACCAGACATTGAAAATAAATAGTTCTTCAATCACAAGCACTGATAACAGAAAAAGTGAAAAACAAGCATTACTTTAAACTAATCAATACCCTTAACTTTCTTTCAATCAATATCTTACATTGACATTTTCTTATATAAAGGTTTCGGTTTCATGAGAGGAAAAGGAACAAAAAAGGTAACTTGTTATAAAAACAATAGATTTCTCCAGACTACTATGAATATCTCAATTTAATGAGTTAGTTAAAATGTCAACTCAGTAACAAAATAATGACCAAACTGTATATCACACAAATGATAGATCTGACCAAACTGTCCAGCACTCCAGCCGCATTCGCATCTATTATATACAGATGATGAAAACCAATAATATACTACCCGATTTTCACTCACATAAATAGAAGGCATATCACAATTTTTCATGTGTCCTTTACTTTTCTCAAGAGACGAATCCACATCACCAACTGATTCCTCTCACGCACAAGTTTATCTATTTATAACATGAGCCATTTCTATACATATGAACAAAAACTGATTGAATTTTTATGCTATCTAGTTTTCAAGTACAAACTCCAAGCTTATCTGATCTAAACTTACCAAATTATTGGCCCTAACATATACTTTTAGTTATAAACTTAGATTTAAAGGCAATGCGAGGCGCAGGCCAAAACGCCTCGGCCTTCCTAGGCGCACGCCTTTCAGACCGCCTCCACCAAGGCGTAAGGCGCAGCGCCTGAGCCGTCTTACGTTTAAAAACTTGAGAAAAGGGGATTTGGATTAATTTTTGTTAAAAACACTTTTTTTTTCCCAAATTGAAGCTTACCCAGTCTTTTAGAGTGATAATTCGAGCAAAAGCCCCTTGTAAATTGAATAAAATCACATCAATTTGACCCCCAATTCAAAAACACTAATATACAGGTGGCTATGCAATTGAAAAATGGGTGGGTTTTGCAACAGCAGACTTTTCCGGAGATCAACCCCCGGTGGTTTCCGGCAGCAGATATACCGGCAGCCGACACCAGTGAAGCAACCCAGGTAGCTTTTTTTTTCCTTCTATTCTCTCTCTTTGATCTCCGCTCTTCTCCATTCTTTCTTTTTCTGCTTCTTCTTAATCTCTCTCCTCTGCGGTCTCTACCCACCTACAATAACGTAAAGTTTTTTTTTTCCTTTATTATTTATTCTTTTTTTTTTTAATTGACAGAGTAACAAAAGCCCTACTTCTCCTGTTGACTGTTAATCACATGACTAGTCTCACCACCTTTTTTTCTAACCAAAAAAAAAAAGTAAAATAAATAATTTAAAATTTAAAATTTTGCGCCTCATATCCAAGAGACGTGTGCTGTCGCTTTGCGCCTCGTGCTTTTTAAAACTAAGGTTATAAATGAACTTACCAACCGTTTTCTAGACTTATTAGCCTAAACAAATTAAAATAATTATAACTTAGAACATTTTTGAGGAATAAAAAGAGGCATAAACACCTTCAAATCATCATACTAAGCAGAAATACTTGAGCAATACACATATTTTTGTACGAAGCGTTCCAAAAGAAACTTAAAAGTGAAAAGAGAGGGAAGTATAATATGCGCGAGGAAAAAAGTTCGCAAAACAAGGCTCAAAGTAAGTGGATGAAAAAGAAAGGGAAAATTAGATAGATGAACAATCATGTAATGTCCTCGAAACATATATTCTCCCTCCACCCTGCCCTATAACATGCCATATTTTCCTCAATCCCCAATAGATTCATATTACTCTCAATCACCCTCCACCAAGCTTTCTTAGGTCTTTCCCTAACCCTCACAATCTCATCACTTTGCTCACTTTATAAGCCTCCTAACAAGTGCATCACTTGATGTCCATCTTACATGGCCTAACCACCTTTAGTGATTCTCCCTCACTTTCCCACTCCTAAATCTTCATTGAATGATATACATTGAGACAAATCTAACACAACCACACAATCACACATGATCATGTTTTTTCTCATGTATAAATCACAAAAGGTAGTCAAAGTGATTTATGAGAATAGTGCCCAAAGGAACGTGTCAGCTGGTATGAAACGGAGGAATCAAGTAAATTCTAATCAAATAAAAAGGAGCTTCGCCAACTTATGTCTCCATAAAACATCAATAGAAAAAACAAGAAAATCTGAATGGAAAATAGGGAGAAGAAGAAATAGTCATGCAAAATTGCTAATGAAGCAAACATTAAAGAAAATAAGTAAAAAGAACCAATGATTGAAAGAAGAACAAGGATGCTAGAGCAGCACATGTCAGATACCTACCTGAGTAAGCTGCCTGCTTTCATGATTTCCACGCAAAAGAGTAATGTTCGCAGGATACCTGGCAAACGAGAAGAATGCATAGTTGCAACAAATTTAAGTTAAGTATGCCTTATAAAGTACTAATAACCTAATAATATTGGTAACTTAGGGAAAAGGCAGTAGGGTACAGAAGAAAAAATTTCACAGGGTTGATCAATCTGTTGTCAAATGATGGCATATGTATTTAAATTCTAGCGAGAACAATATACATAAGATAGAGATAGCAAAGTTATTCATAATCCCACTCCCAAACAGAAGCTTAATCATATCACTAAATCAGGATGAAATTATGTGAAATGCAGCCATCAATCCATCATCTCCTCATGACAAAAAAAGAGATTTTAAGAAATTTTTTAAAAAAAAATTCAAAAAATAATTAAGCACACTTTTCAACAACCTATGAACTTCCTTAGTTCTTAACGAAACAGATTCTGCTAAATTTTGGTAAGAAATATTTAGTTAGTGACAAAACTTAAGGATGGACACAGCAATAATTAAATGAAAATGATAATCAAACAAAATAACACTGAGCAACATACAGATTTTGTCATTAATCCCTAAATGAAGACCAATTTAAGCAATATGTTTAATGCAATAATGCTTATAGTTAGATCTTAGGGTTGTATGTATCAAAACCAACAACTGAATGTTACTCTCAGTTTCAATCACTTGAAGCAAGTTCACAAAACAATGGAACAATGGTTATACAAAACCATCACGAATGTCAATGTCATAGAGCATAAAGCACTTAAAGTTTTATATGAGTTGTTGAACATCCTAATAGTACCAATAAGGAATATGGCCACCAGATCCTCAATAGCTGTTAGCTGTCTACAACATTCTACTAACCTTACATGCCAGATCCAGTAATGATGGTACAGGCCAGTTATTATACAGGCCAGCTAAACATGATTACAATAATACTGGGAAGCGAGATAGGATATTGGTTCCAATAAGTCGGCCCCAATCATACATTCACAATCCAGGCTCTTCTTCCATGCAAACAGCAGTTTTTTCGCCAGTAACAAACAGAATCTTAACCCATAATGCAATTTATCCAGCCAAAATAAGTTGGCTTAGGAGCTCTAGATTTGTAATTAACATAGCTCATACAACACTAGATACAGTCTAATTCTAAAAGTCAATTCTCTGAACAGTTATTTTCTTAAAGACAACAGATAAAGTGTCGTTCACAACTTCACATTCCTTCACAAGGTCTTCATAGTTATAAATTACCTTCTCCGGCAATGAAAGATAAAAGAGTTGTTCATAGAAACTATAATTGAAGTGAAATCAAATCATCGCCATCAAAAATAAACTTCATTCAAACAATCCCAGGAGACAGGTAGTCTCAGGTTCTCAACAATCAAAATCATTACAATTATCATCAATCTACGTCTAAATCCAAAAATGATGAGTGATCCACAATTTCACAAAACTTGCCAATCTTTTACAAACTAGAATAATTCCCTTGCGAAGGGTAAAGAGACCGGCCAAAAACTATAGTGACACAATAATCACTAACGAGTGAAGGGTTTGGTAAATAAGAGCATAATGACTTCATTCCATTCACGATCTAAACATCTGGTTGCTTCTACACTGCATAATGTGGTTTCCTCACAACTAAGGATTAATATTACAACTGTTAGTGACAATAACAAAGACCTTTATCCGTTTCACAAGAGAGATCATATACAACAGTTCAATATTATTTAGACTCCTATCCACATCTTCTAAAATTATGATTCTTCCAATATAGTACCTAAATAACTCAAGTTGACTGTGAAACTGCTCTTAACATAAATGGCAATTAGTCAATCAAACAAACACCATACTATTAGTCAAGTATTTTTAGTCTTCTCCAAGAAAAGGTCTACATCCAAAACCTGCTGATTTTTGCACATCTCTATACATAAAGGTCCTAAACCACTAAGACCATCAAGCTCAAAGATTACAGATATAAGACATGATAGTGAAATGGAGAAAAAGCAAAAATCCAGTAACAACATCTACAAGCATTAATAATAAAATCCATATGCATAACAGATTTAAGGCATACCTAGCTTTAAGAAGCAAAAGGATGGTAAAGACTTCAAGACTATTGTAGCCTCTGTCAACAAAATCTCCCTGACAAAGGATTTGAGATTTTTAGGTCAATAGATCTAAGAAAGAAGGGAACAAATGTTGACAATCACACAAGCATAGCAATATTAGTATATATAACTACTAGTACCATAAATATATAATTGGTCTCTGGAACATGACCTCCAGTCTGGAAAAGCTTCATTAAATCATGGAATTGGCCATGGATGTCACCACAGACAGTGACTGGACTATTGACTGGCTGAACGTTTGACTCCTCAATTAGTATCTCTTTTACCTGATACATTCCACATATGGGTATACGCAAAGAAATGATCAGTAAGATCAGATAATTGACAATTTTATGAGCACTGGCAGAAAAGGAACCAGCTCAGATGAGATGTGGAAAAAACAGAAAACAAAAGGGTAAAATTTAGCCATAAAGAAGAAAGTGAATGATAGTAAAGTAAACATCCTAAGAGCAGACTGCAACAACAGTTCAAGATAAAAAGTCTAAATTCAAAATGCTTTGCTAAAAAATCAAGTAGTACTCCACAAAAATCTATGTAAGAAAAAGGAAGGAAAAAAAAAAAGCCTAAATGTTGTCCAAACACTACATTAATCCTTTCTTAAGCATGGTATCCCTTTGGAAACATGTCTTAAAGACATACATTTAAAATCCACACCAGAACTTCTCAGCATACTAGGCCTGATATCATCAACCCTTCAGGCTGACCATTATCAGATTTATCACCCAACGTGTTACTTCTTTCTTACAAATTAGCATATATTGCAGTAGACCAGTGTAATTGGAATACCACATAATAAGCAAGAATTTTCTTAGAAATTCAATTATTTCCATAACATCATATCATTCCAAATAGATACAGCTAAAAAAAGGTGTGACTGGCATTGCCATTTGCCAATACATGGCATTCCTTTGCCGGCTTCGTGAAAGAATTAGGAGAAACTTGGCCTAAAATCATTAATATCAACCAATCTCAACATCCATCATCAGATTCATAACTCCAAGAAAATTCACATATTCTCATATACTCATAAACATAAATTGCTGCCGCAAAGAATTTCGGTTGGAAGCAGCAAACCACAGCCCGGCCATCTCCAACATTTGTTATTGCATAAAAGCAAACTCACGACTTATTGCGAAACCCCAATTTGAAACAAATACATCTAAGCATTATCAATACAGCAAACTTCCTATCAATGGAGGTAAACTGAGACTAGTCTACCAATCATTACTCCATAAATCCAAAATTACAAACACAAATTAAACAATCAAAAGAGTGAGGAAATAGAGAGAGGGGGGAGAAATTACGTATTCGCAGAGAAGCTGAAGCTCATCTTCGGCCAAATGCTGGCCTTCTTTAACCTTGGCGATCCATTGGTCCAAATCCATTTGTAATAATTGTTGGATTGCTGAATAATCTCAGAAATTTCTACTTTCACACTCAATCTCTCTCTTAGTTTTAGGGTTTTCGTGGTTGAACCAAATCTGGAGGAGAGAGAAAAAGGGTGATTCAAATCAAACGAAAAGACAAAAGATGAAGAAGATGAAGAACAGCAGCGCTTGGAAGATCTTTGAAAATAATTTGGGGGTTTTGCCGGCACTCGCACACCGTAAATAGCCTCACAAACCACCACACCCCCTGCCGCACCCTAGATTTAGTACGTGTATTAGGTACTTGTCTTGTGTTACTCGTATTAAAGTCGCGTCCATTCAACAATCAATCAACCGTTGGTTATTAGTTATTAATGACTCGATCCTCATTTGACCTACTCACCTACAAGTATTTATACAATTGTATAAATGATTTGTGGGATATGAAGTCAATTGTTAATCTGCATAATATGCAAGCGTTAATTAAGATTTAAAACTTGTAGTTAACATAAAAGAATTTTGTTACGGGGTAGAAATATGTTATATATAGGCAACATAGCCCTTAGTGTTACATATAATCATTAAATACACTCTAAAAATTTGTTTATATTTAGGAAATCAAGACAAAAATATAATGATTTACGCATGTGTTTGGTCAATAATTCTAAATTTTATGGAGTACAATTTTCAAAAGTGTAATTTAATGCTTATAAGGCTACATATAGCATTACCCTATTAGGTGTCGTCATTTGGCTTAATCTATAAATTTCATCTATCTACATACATAATTATTATTTGTATATATGTATCATATTACTTTGAATTGGGAGATATCTTCCGGATTGATAAAAAAAACTAGAATGATTTATTTTATTTTTAAATAACCACCCATTAAATTTTTTATTTTATTTTACCACCCCTTAAATTAAAAAATTAAGTAAATTCCCACCTTTTTCAAAAATTTGGTGAGTTTTCCGTCAGTGACTCAGTGAGTCCCACCTAATGGCTATTAACGGTTATATTGAGCTTCTTTAATGTTTTCACCCCCGATTTTTTTCTATCAAACAACTCTTCCTGTAACACCCCCGATTTACTATAAAATAATAAACAAGAACTAAAGGAAAAATAAATAACCTTTGAATAAAATTGCGGAAGCATATACGTAAATCGGAGGTATTACTGCCACACTCAACAACATGTCAAGTGTTAAGGCTTACAAATCCCAATAATTACAACCCAATAAATCTAGGTGAGCTATTTATACAACTTTACAAATTCGTGACAGCATACTAATCAAAACACTTGAGTTCCTTTAGCTATGATCACTTGTTAAACTTGCTTAAAAAAAATCTTGAATGTTCCAAAATAGATCGTCGCACGGCCACCATTAGAAAAATACATGGCCGCAAACTCAGGTAGCGCAACAAAACAACACACACGTCACCAAAAAACTGAGTAATCATCACATATCATAGTACAGAGAATAATAGAATAATCAACATTACTAGCTCAATTAAACAATGTAGTTCAAAACTACATAACACATCGTACTCTAAAAATAACCTTTGTATGACTCAACCTCGAATAATAATATAAACCTTTACTTAACTCATTTGTCCCATAAATGTGCCACGCTCTCAATAACCCAATAATAATAATACCTAGCCTTGGACATGGGTAATTCAAATAACAAACCAACAAGTATAAAAACTTGAATACTCTCAATAACCAGAAAACACCTTGGACCAGACCGCATAAAGGGCCAAATCCCACTATAGGGGACCATAGAAAAATATAAATAAATATTATACGTCATTATTAACTCATGATCATTATCTCATTACCAACATGCCAAGGATTAAGGTATATAACACTGAGCCTCAAACCAAGAATAAAATAATAATCTTAACCTTTTTGATATCATACATCGATCAAATTAACTTTGACTTGATAATAAATAATAATATCTCAATAACGGCACATGTTCCCAAATTATATAAAAGACATATTCGATTCTCAAAATTTCTCAACTCTTATACAATAATACTAGTACCCAAATCTTATTAATCTCAACCCAAGATAATACTAGTAACCCTAAAACCTCAAGAACAATACTCCCTACTTCAACAACATTAATTAGAACCCTAGAATAAAAACACAATCAATTAATATGACAATTAAACCATACTTCCTCCGTTTTCTTTTACTTGCAACACTTCTCTAAAAAGGAAATGCATGTCACAATACTTGCAACACACTATAAAAGGAAAGTTACTTTAGGGAAAAACTATACTATATCCCTTATTTAAAGCACATGACCCATTAAATAACACTCCTAACAACCACTCATCCTATTTTAAAGTTTATTATATCATGTAAACCCCACCTTTCTTAATTACTGTGTTAAAGTGTGTGTTGTATCTAAAAGAAAACGGAGGAAGTATAACACAACACAATGATCACACATATATAAATCGATCATACAAATAACAAAACATAAAATTTGCACACACTAGTACGATGTACAATCAATACAAACAATAACATATAATTAATAATACAATCAAATTAATCAAACATCTCCAAATTGATATAGTGTGATTATTTTTCGAGAGTAATAACCCATGGACTCAATTAAGAGTATTCTGATTTCACAAAATCCACAAACAGAATAATATCACTATACAAACTTTAAGTGGCTTATGGAATGCAAAATTCATCACATTGGAAGAAGGTGGGGAAGCAATAAAGGGTTGACTTTGATTTTAGAAAATCCAATTGATGATTTTCTTCATAAAACATCAAGAAAGCTCACGATTTTTTATTTTTTTTATGAAAATTGGATTAGCCGCAGAGTATATAACTGGTGTACATGGAGGCAAGGCGGAAAAAAAATTAGGGTATAAATAATATGTATAGTTTCGTAAACAAAGAGTTCTATCTAAACAAAATAGGGTTTTAAAATTTTCCGAACTCTAAAATGAAAAAAAAAATGAGATTAGGAAAGTTATTTAATAAATAAAAATAAACTATTTTTTATAAAATATATTATTTAAAATCATAAAATATTCGGGTATTACACCCCCAACTCAATTAGTTGATTCTTCTCCAATGTCTACCAAATTCTCACATTTTTTACTAAGTTGTATTTGAAGACGAACACCCCCCCCCCAAAGTGTAGACGCACAATTTTGCAATCAGGTATGATCAATTCTCTGTTAAAATTAGGGTTCTTGGCACATTATAATTGGGGAATTGTGGGATTACTGAATTAGGGTTATTCGCACAAATTAAATGGGGTATTTTGTCAATTAGGTTCTCGCTACTAATGAATTAGGGATTCTATGAAATTTCAGAACAAAAGTACAATTGTATATCAAAAGTTTTGAAGAACCCTAATTTCATAAAAAAAAACCCAATTTAATTGCGGCAAGAACCCTAATTGCATTAACCCCCAATTAAATTGTGTCAAGAACCTTAAATTTAGAAAATCCCCAATTAATTTGTGTGAGGAACCCTAATTCCTCCAAAAAAAACCCTCAAAATTATTTGTCAAGATACAAAAAGAATTGAGCTTACCTAATTGGGACTTAAGTGACTACACTTGGTTGGGTCAAATTCTTCAAATTAAAGCTTGTAAAAATTGGGAGAATTTGAGGTAAATGATTTCAATATTGTAGAAGAGTGTGAGAAGTTGTTTTATACAACAAAATCGAGGGAAAAAAAATGAAAATATGGGTCAAATTAGCCATTAGTAGCCATTATGTGGGCCCCAAGGCCGAAAAAGTGACCAAAAAGAAAGAAATGGTGGTGATTTAAATATTATTTTTTTAATATAAAGGGTGGTCAAATAAAATACAAAATTTAATAGGTGGTTATTTCAAAAAAGGTGAACTTATAATTTTTCCTTAAAAAAAAAACTTGTAGGCCCTTAGCCCAGCCACTAGTCCCCTTGCCCCAGCCACCCATTCCCTAGTCCCAGCCCCACTTTTCCTTCCAACCTCCTCATCGGTGTACCCTCCTTCGTGCTTTCATTGAGGACAATGAACCTTAAATATCTTTCTCTTTTCCACCAATGGCAACGACATCCACCTCCTTCGAACCCACCTTCGTCGTTGTTACTCTCATCGACAAGCTCAATAAGTGTCACACCCCTCTTATCATGGGCGTCGAAGAAGAACACTCTTTCACGCCCGAAATTGGGAAGAGGGAAGGGGAGGGGGCTAGAATCGCAATAGGAATGGGAAGGAGTAGGGACTAGAATTGGGACGGGGGAAGGGGAGAGGGTCAGGATTGGGACGGGGAAAGGGTTTTTCGAGGGTGGTTTGGTGGTTCAAGGGGAAGGGAGGAGGGTCGACATTTTAGGGCAGGGGTCGGGTTGGTGGGTATAGGCGGCTGTGGATGGAGGACGGTGGTTGGGTCGGTAGGGTGGTTTTTTTGAGTTGATGAGACAAAGGTCGGATTATTCTTCACAATTTTTTCTATTTTTTTTATCATATAAAATTAGAAAATTTATTGTTCATTTCTTACCAAAAACAAGCCTGACATACGAAAACTGGTGTACATCAAGAGGTATCTCAGTCATTTGAAGTAGGGGCGAGCATGGTACGGGTAACCGATAATCAATATCACTAAAAGTGATATTCATAATCGAATCGATAAGTTCGGATACCTGGACTTTTGGTACCCGGATTTTTGAATCGGTTATCGAGTACCCAATAAGATATCCAATAATGATAATTAAACTTAATAATGTAGTTAATATGATATTATTTAACACTGGTTAACAATGATACCACATGATTTTGACCAAATTATTAATAATATTACTAATCATTGGTATTATAAAGTGATTATGAAATAAAGTAATAGTTTAGATCTTGGAAAAATAAATTTAAGTTGGAAAAAAAACAAAAAATTGCTTATCAGATCGGATTCGGTAACCGATCAGATTTTTGGTTTTACGGGTAAATTTGGGGATAATTTTGTAATTATCAAATTGTTTTCCTCATTAAAGTTGCAAAATACGGAGTATAAGGTTATTAATGCCTTGATGGGGCAAGCTCAAAAAAAAATTAGGAGTAAATTGGTTAATTGAAATTGAAAAACTGGAAAATTGGATATAAAGGCCGACGGTCAATTAATTTTCGAAAGCTACGGCAGCGATTGAGGGTTGGATCGAAGAGAATGGAGGAATCTTCAACATCTGCTCTTAATTCCTCTAACATCGGATTTCAGGTGCCCTTCTTCCTCTTTAATGGGGTTTTTTTTTTGGGTTGATTTTTAATCCCTAACTCTTCTATTTGTAAATTACTCTCAGTTGTTGAAGAAACATGGTTGGAAGGAAGGAACTGGTCTTGGTGCTTCTCAACAGGTTCTTGTTTTTCTCTCAATTTATATCAAGTATGAATTTCGAGTATTAAAGAAAATTACTTTTATATATGCACAAAACCTTAACTTTACTGTTTAGATTGCCAAGTTGCTTTGGAATTATATTGGCATGTTGTTTTAATAATATTGGGATTAATTTTATCACTAGGCATTCATCGGATGCATTCATTGTCTGTTGCTAATTTTCAACTTGTTTCTTTTCCTCGACTTGGTTCATTTCCATTGTCTGTTGATTTTTCTTTGTTATCTGCTTGCTTCTTAACCACTACTATGAGTTATCATGTTGAATATTTTCCTTCTTCTTTTTCTTTCCTATCTGAATGTTCATACCCAAACATTAGTCACTTACTTGTGGTGGAGCCAAGTTTTATCTGAGGAATGGATCACCAGATATTTGAAATATTTGTTGAATTCATGGATTTTTTTGCTTTATAAACTTTTGAAGCCTTTTGTGTTTTTCCTTCTGAATCAACTCCTGTATGAATATGTTATTGAACATGATTTTGTATTTTTGTATCATACGAGTGTATGGTTGCATTTTGAGTGCCATATTGTACTGCCCCATCCAGGACTGTAGCTTACTTTTTCTCGTGTAAGTCATAAAGAAATATGGTAAAGTTTACAACTGGCATCTCTTATTAAATTTACGGGAAGAGGCTTATTTATATTGGTTTGACTTGTAAATATTTGTTTCATGTTGTGCATGTATCTGCTTGTAGGTTTGAAAATCAAAATATAATGTTGTCTTAATTGGTGATCCATGGTGTTAACAGGGGAGGTTGGAGCCTGTGAAAACATATGTTAAAAAGAACAAAAGAGGTTTAGGGGCTGAAAAGTGGAAAAAGAAGACCTTGCAATCATCCACAACAATCACCTCCAGAGAGAAGGAAAAAACTGTAAGTTTCACTTGTTACTTTCAACTAAATTTTTAGTTTAAAAAACTTTTATTTTTCGAATATGTAGAATCCAGGATGCAATCATGTCATTTTCAAAATCATAAGTGAAGAGGATATAGTTTCCTTTAGGAGATTATTGCTTAGTTTTCTTTATATATACAAACTTACAAAGTATAAGTAAGAGTGAATGTGGTTTCCTTTATGTGTTTTACTTTATTTTTACTTTTTTTTTTTTAAAAAAAAATTTCTTGTAGTGTATTACCCTTTTATAGCTTGATGATTTCTCATTAGCTATTCTTTTGGGGCTCTCAGTGAAGTTATTGCTTTTTAAGAAAACCAATTATTATCTTTACAATTGCATCACTGCTTTTGGATTGAAATTAAAAAATAAAGAGGATTTTGTTGGTTTTTCCCTCTAGCAGATGATTTGATGCATGAACTTTGTTACTATTTAGTTATAACAAGCTCAAGTATATTGTATATGTGAAGTTGTGCACTTTTACTCAAGCTCCACCTGCAATTTTCTTGCAATAATATTTACCTGCATTTCTACAACCTTTCTTTGCCACCAAGATTGTTATTTATTCCAAATCTAATGATTATGTGAACATATGAGGTCCTGAGTAGTGGTCAGTATCTGTGTTGCTTGTACTGGACATTGGACAAGGATTGGTTGTGGAGGTGCATTTTGTATTATCATTGCATATTCTGGTGTGTATACTTTTGAGTCAGATATGGATTGCCTCGAGTTGTATTACATGGTTCTATTATTTTATGTCAGATTGAATCATTCAGAATTTAACATTGCGTGGTGTAGTAAACTTTGCAACCCTCATTATCAAATCATATACTCCCTCCGTATTTTATTACTTGCTCCACTTTCCTTTTGTGGCTATAGTTTACTACTCGCTCCATTTCCTTTTTTTTTTGACACTTGTAACAATATTTTACTATTTTCATCCCCATTAGTGGTCCTCTCATATCATTAATTAATACTTCCTCCATTTCACCTTGTTAGTCTTCTTTGGAATCAATCACTTAAATTATGAAATAGAGGAATCCTAATAATTTGGAATTTGTTTACAGCTTGTGATCAATGTTTTGTCTTTTCCTGTTTTATTTGTTTTATTTATGGGAATTGGTGTAATTAAATCGCCTATAATAAATCTTGATTGGAAGAATTTGCCATGTCAGCAATCCACTAGTACATATATTAACCAAATAGAATTAATTGACTCTTTTAAACACCCAATTAGATTAATTATTCATAGATTATTAAAATTATTTACTCTTTAATAATGTTAGGAATATATTATATATATTTCAAATGCCTAAATAATATATGGAACTAACAAAGTAAAATGGAGGGAGTAGTTTTCAGATTCACTATCCTCCCTACTTATACTCTACTTTTGTTTTTTCAGATTTATTTATTCTTCAACCAACCCCGCTTTCATCATAAAATGATACTTTCTAATTTCTTCTATTCTTCCTAAAATTCCATGTCTCGAGAAATGGAGCGAGTAATAAAATATGGAGGAAGTATTTGTTAAGTAGCTGAATAAGCTATGCCCTCTTTGAAGTTGCACAGACTCCATGACATTTCTACTTTTGCGTTGCCTGTTTTTTAATAGGAGACGATCCTTGTTTTTCAGAGTGGGAAGTTTCTATTGAGTATTTGCATTGGGTTTTGCTCATTTTCATTTAATTATGCTGTTTGGAAATGCATGTAATCTGTGAAATACATTACTATGAAAATGTTGCCTTGAGTGGTGGGACGCATAAGGGGTGGTGGAGGACTGGTGGTGGTGCTGTGTAACTACTGAGTCTCGCTTAATATTGATAAACTAATACTTTGTAGTTTAATTATTGTTTATGGGCCTTAGTCATTACTCCTCAGATCATTGAGTCCTCTCTCTTGCTAATTTTGTTGCTATTTGTGACAGGAGAAAATGTCAAAAAAGGAGAAAGCACTCTCTAAAAGGGTGAGGAAAATGCTGGATGAAGAAAAGCGTCGGCAAGAAAATGAAGTTCGTCAAGCATTCTTCAGAGAGTTTTGGCCAGAGAATGTCTGACATTGGGTCACTAGGAAAACTAATTGCATGCCCTTATTTGTTTACGATACCGTGTACAGATCTTTCTCCCACTATTTTTTTGTTGTCATGTATAGCCGACTTTATTCTGTTGTATGGATACTCAACCTGAAGTTTTGGAAGCCAAATCGGAGAACCAAAACCATACTTACATTATGTTCAAGAATTGAAAGTGTTACAAAACATAATTTATTATACAAATTTTTGTATGTGGTTGGCCACATGGTGTGGCATGGGCTACTTATAGGGTGTTACTTGTATTCTGGTGTTACTTGTAGGGTGTTACCGGTTTTGGTCAGGGTGTTACTGGTATAGTGTATTTTGAGGTTACTTGTATGGTTGTACTGGTTTTGGTCAGGTGTTACTGGTTTGGTATGTGGCTCTGATGAGGGGTTACTTGTAGGGGTTACTCAGAAGTAACCCCTACAAGTAACCCTAAAATACAAGTAACACCTACAAATAACCTTTGACAAAAACCAGTAACACCATACAAGTAACCCCTGCCGCACCATGTGGCCTGCCACACTGAATAACCTCTGCTATTAAACCAGTTGCGCTCTTTAAACAAGACAAAGTGGCCCATGATCATCGGCACTTGAGCTGGCTTGTCAGTCTCAATGTCGAAAGGTATTTGAATGAGTGTGCTCACTAATAACTGAAGGCACATTTATGATGTGCACCTGCAACCCATTTTTTACATTATGATGCAGTTGAAGATGGAAAGGTTAAGGGCAAGGAGGTAGTAGCGATGATATATGGATCATTATTTGACATTTTATAGTGTTTTTGTCTTCCTGTTATTCTTTCGATTTAAACTTTTGTCAAAGAAAACCATAGAGGGTTCTTACGTTGTTTTCTTGAAAATGTGATCATTCTATTGAAAATATGAAAGTGTTATGAATTAGAATGTTCTACGTTTTTATTCAAAAAAAAAGAAAGAAAGAAAGAATATTCTATGTGTAACAGTAACCTCATCGTGTAAACTGTCAAGTAGAATTTTTAGCTGTATTGCCAAGACACAAGTTTTAGGAGAATTTCAAGACTATTAAGTAATCAGCTAATATTTATGTGTAATACCTGTACGTTCATGTTAGTTTGGAAGTTAGTTTGGGGGTATAGAGTCCAATGAAGCTTCACCATTTTCTATGGAGGGCCTGCAAAGGTAGCTTGGCTGTGATGGATCGATTGCATCATCGCCACATTGTCCAAAACAAGGTATGTGGTTATGCTCTAGAATCAATTTTGCATTCACTTTTTGAGTGTACATATGCAAAGCAGCAAAGGAGATTTGGTCATACGATCAGTTGGGCTTGTTAAATGATGCTCATACCTCTTCTTTTGGAGATAGACTGATGTGGTTAGGTAGAAAGTATCTAAGGAAGAACTTCGAACTTCTGCAGCACTTATGTGGGCAGCATGGTCTTGTAGAAAAAAGGTGATATTTGAGCATTGTGTTCCTGGTGCTATACAAATGGCTGCGGGTTTCGTCTGAGTTGTGCAGGATTATTGTGGATACAGTGAGCCTTGCAAGCTGGCAGCCCTCTGATGTTGGCTTTGTAAAGGTTGACACTGATGCACATGTGTGTGAGAGATTTTGTGTGGGGCTGGGTGCAGCAGTAAGGGATCATAGGGGAAATTGGTTGCTTGGGCAGTGAGGAAGAAAGGAGTAAGATGGGGTGCTGATCTAGCTGAAGCAGCAGCCGCAGCTTTTGGTGTGGAGGTTGCTCGGAATCTCGGTTACAGCCATGTTATTCTCGAATCTGATGCTCAGAATATGGTGAATGCAGTCTGAAAGAAATCGTGTGGAGTGAAGTCTCTCCTTTATACCTCTTTCCTTCTTTTTTTTTTTCCTCAAAAAAATGATACTAGTCTTTGTCTATCTAATTTTGTAGATTTCTCTTGTAATCACATTAGAAGAGTTGGTCATATAATTGCTAGATGGAATATTAATGTTGGTGAAGAGATGATTTGTACTAACTATTTTCCTCAAAGCCTTATTGCTTGAGGGGAAATTGATCATAACAAATGAAATTCTCTGCTTTCTTCCTAAATTTTTTTCTACTTATGTTCTAAAATATTTCCTAAGCTTATGTTATAAATTTGTTCTTATGTTCAAAATTATTTTTTCAGCTTATGTTCTAAATTTTTTCCTATATTCTAAATTATTTTTTCAACTTATGTCATAAATTATTTTTCCTATGTTCTTATATAGATTGATATTTTAAAATTTTTCCTATGTTAAAAAAATAGAAGATAGCAAAAATTTTTAACATAAGTTGAAAAAATGATTTATAGCACAGGAAAAAAATTTATAACATAAGCTGAAAAAAAAATTTAGAACATAAGCTGAAAAAAATAATTAGAACATAGGAACAAATTTAGACCATAATTTTTTTTTAAAAAAAAAAAAATAAATTGGAACATATGGAGTAAGAAATAATTTGGAACATAAGTAGAAAAAAAAATTTAGAAAATAGAAAAAACTTTAGAGCATAAGCTGAAAAAAATTTAGAACATAAGAAAAAGTTTAGAACATATGGGTTCTTACATAAGATAGAGTTCTTATATAAGGAGGGGTTCTTACCGAAACCCTCCCCTATATGTATGTGTGTGTGTGCGCGCGAGACTACAATACATGTATTGAGAATGGATATAAATTTTGAACATACATATGATAAAAATTGAGAATACATGATTCAAAATTTTAGGATGTATAAGCAAAATTGAAAATGTATGTGTGAGTAATAATTTAGAACATCTGATTTAAGATTATGAGAGTAAAAAATCAAAAAAACTATAATTTAGAACATACTCTTTCTGTTTTTAATTACTTGCTCCTCTCTATGCGCGGAGTTTTAAGAGAAATTGGAGAAGTAAGAAAATATGGAGGTAGTAGCCTAGTAGGGTTGGTGGAAGAATACAAAATTGTAAAAAGCAAAAGTAATTGAGAGAATTGGAGGAGAGAGAATTGAAATTAATAAAATATGATTTATGTTGGGTCCACTAGTTGAGAGAAATGAATTAATTATTGTAAAAAAATTTCAAATAAGGAAATGGAGCAAGTAATTAAAAACGGCTGGAAATGAAAAGTGGAGCAAGTAATTAAACACGGAGGGAGTAAATTTTGGAACATCTAATTTAAGATTCATCATATGTAAGTAAGAATTTAGAATACCTAATTTAAAATTTAGAACAATAAAATTCAGTACGTGTGAGTAAAAGCTTTGAACATACGAGTAAAGTTGTAGAATATTTGATTTAAATTCTAGAAAATATGATTAAAATTTTTATAACGCACGATCTTAAGCTGATTTAAAATTTAGAACATACAACTAAAAATTTGGAACTTACAGCATGATCTAACATTAGAAAGTGTTTTCACATAGAAATTATGATTCAAAATTTAGTACATATGAGTAAAATTAAGAAAATGTGCGTAAGTAGTAATTTTAAACATATGATTTCAGTTCTAAGCATGTAAGTAAAATTTAGAAAACTTGTCTGATTTAAGATTGAACATGTTAGTAAAAATTAGAACACATGATTCAAAATTTATAAATATGTTTAAATTTAGAACATAAGAGTTAAATTTATAACATACAATTTAAAATCTAGGACAACTTTTTAAGATTTATAACATGTGTGTAATAATTTTGAACATCTGATTTAACTCATTTTAGATTTAGAATATGTGAATAAAAATTTGGAACACCTGGTGTAAAATTTAGACCATATGAGTTTAAATTTATACTCCCTCCGTTTTTTTTTTAAGTATTTAAAAACGGAGGGAGAACATGGAGCTCACATAAAGGAGCTGTTTTGTGAGAGACTTGCAGTGATAGGACTTGTAAAATGGATCATTGGTTTGGTTCTAGCCAAATGATTTCGTGTTTGGGTCGTGTTTTTATGGGATGCTTGCGACCTAAGTGTTGGGAAATCCGGACATGACAATCTTCAAACATATTCCCGATACTAGAATACTTTTTTGAAAGACCAATACTATAATACTTGTTGTTCATCTTGAAAAAGTGCATCCATATCCAAATTATAGATTTTCTTGTTTTCTAGATCCCGTTAATATCTCATGCCCATTCGTAAGCATAGCCTAACATTTTGTTATTTATTTATCTATTTTCTGTTGAAGTGGCCTAAGATGATTATGGCATTGTAATAAAAATTAACGGTAATTTTTAGTTTATAGGTAGTGGTAATGGAAGAATGTAAATGTAATTTGGCAAGCATTATAACACATCTCATAAAAATCCATTTTCACCCAATGACACTCAATGGTAATGGATGGTCATGAAAATTTGTGAAGAAAAGTAATTTGGGGTGAACTATCATTACTTTATCATGTAAACAAACTTCAATTTCCGATATAGATTTTTGTGCAAATTCATATCTATTAGACCCTTTGTTTTAAAAAGCTCGCCTTGCTCTCAGGCTTTGGGAAATGGGCTTTAGCTAGGTGAGGCTCAATCACTTCGTGCGCCTCAAAGCGCCTTTGATAAGGCACGCCTTTGCGCCTCAAGGAAAATAACTAAGATTTAAGTTATAAATAGATGAATGATGGACAACTTATTTTCAAATTCAGACTACCTTAGCTTTTTACATATATCATTATTTAATTTATTATGAATCTTTTTAATTGCTTGGTATCAAGTATAATCAAAGTAAAAAATAATTTGAAATAAATATATAAATACATTCGCCTTGCATACAAAAGGCGCGCACCTTCGCCTTGCGCCTAAGCTACAAGGACTATTTGCGCCTTGCGCCTTTTAAAACTAAGATTAAACCATTACCACTTTCCAAACGGGGTCAGACACATATTTTATAATCATATAGGAGTGTTTAGCATTCAAAAATAAATAAATAAATATAGGACTGTTTAGTACATAAATTTGCAGTACCCGACACAGGTGCCTATAATATATTGAACTATATAGGTAACATTGATTGTGAATTTGTGAGCTTTGTAGGTCACTTTATAAAGCGCTCTGATGTATTTGTGTTTGTCCCTTTTGTGCATGCTAATTTTTAAGTTTAATTGTGTCTTTCAGGTAGATCACTTTTTAGGAATCAAGCGGAAAGCTGAACCTGGATCTAATGGCATGCCAAAGAAGTCTAGAACTTGATTCTTTTGTCCAATGATTGAAAAATTGTAATTTCTACTTTGGAGGTTTTCAAATTGGAAAGGCTTCACTTTAAATCCATCATCATAGGGCTAGTGAAGATTTTTGCTCATGTTTTGACTTGTGTTGTAGTTGTGTACTGTATATAAAAACGATAGCACGATCTAGTTTGGGTGATAATGTTACGATCTAGCTTTGGGTGATAAGGTTTTGGAATTTTGATGTTTAATAGCAAGGTTATTGGTTCTGAAGATGACTTATGCCTTCGATTTTTGTCTGATTTTTTATATATGTCTTGTGCAAATTATTTGTAATCAGTTGGCCAAATGATAATTTTGTCAAATATTTGGTATTGCTCTTTTTTTTTTCTTTTTTTTTTGCTATCTTCATATTATGTTATTAAGGCACGTTAAGATTGGAACTTCTTTGGCTGTATGAACTCCTGAGTTTGTTATGGCGCTTTAGATGTGTTTAATGTGTAGATATGCGGTTGAAACCCGAAAGTAGACTTGTTTTTTCTTTCTTTCCTTTACTTCTTGAGGTCAATGGTCAAAATTTTTGGCCAAGTAGTAGCTTAAGACTTGTAAAAGTGTAATAATAACACTGTTCATTACCCTAATTTTTAATTTTTATATATTTGGCTAATTGTACGTGTGACCCGCTAACATTGGGTATTCAGTTAGAGTTATATGGGTTCCTCGGTTGGTGCTATATGTGTTACTTATTAATAATGTAAGGGTTACTATGTCAGTGTTGTAAGGGTGAATATGTTATATAAGGGTAACTCTATAAGTATAACAAGGTCATGTTCTTTTCAGCTTATGGGTAGGGAAGATTTCAGTAGAGCAGGGCTAAACAGAGCAGATTTTAGTAGGGTAGAGCACAGTAGAGCAGAATAGCTCAAAAAAACAGGGCCTAAGGGGTTAATGTCAGTACAATAGGGGTTAACTTGTAAGTATTACAGGGATTACTCTTTTTTTTTTCTTAACATACGGTCCAGTGGAGAAAAGAAAAATACAACTAAAAAAGCAGTACTCCTTAATAGGAAACAACAACAACAACAACAACAACAACAACAACAACAACAACACTTGGGGGAATAGTCCCAAAAGGCAATTAAGAAAAAGGTTGGCAAAGATAGAAAAATGGGTGTTTATTGACACTTTGGTGGATCCTAAATGGTATGTTCGACTTGTTTTTCAAGGTTTGAGACTTGTTTTGACCCGAGAAATTTGAAAAATTGATATACTTGATATATGTTTTGTAACTTGATTATCTTCGTGTGACCTTATTAGGTTGAATCGACTACCAAATGCTTTCCCCCTAACCCAGTTTTAATGCCTTTTTTTTAGGGAGAAGAACACCACAATGACATCATGCATGAGGGATTGGGCGATTTGGTGGGAAAATTTAATATTTTAAGAAATAGTAAGTGGTAAAATTAAAAAATAAAAATAAAAATAAAATAATTGTTGGTGGTTATTACTAAAATGAGACGTATAGTTGGATCTTTTTAATATCTGAGTAGTTGGTTGCGAACTTGTAATTGTATCATGAGCAACAAGCATAACTGCTTAATCGATGGAAATTGTGAATTCATAAACATGATTAGGTTAAATTAGTTCTCATTATTGAGATGGATGAAAACGGTAAACCATCATTCTATTTAATAACTCAAGAAATATCCAATCCCACCTTTCCAACAAAACAATTATAAATTGAACAAAATATTCGTCCACATTCAATATTTGGACGATAGATGTTTATCTTGTCTTGAAAATAGTATAGATTGATTATAATAATAATTTTTTTGACTGAGTGGCATCTAGCTGTTTACTTCCTCAATTTGCAAAAGTAACGGACATTACTCACGTGAACCATCTACTTCCTTCATTCTCGTTCTTCCTCCACTAAAACTAACTTCTCCATCATCCTCCATCTTCTTCTTCATTCTGCAATTTCCACCCCCCTTACAACCAACACCACTATCCCGGCAGCTTCGCCGCCAAATATAATGAAAACCCTATGAAAAAGGGTGAAATTAAAGGCATGATGAACCCCTAAGGGTAAAGGTATTATCTTCCTCCATTGAAGCTAATTTCGAGCTTCACTTTTTCCATTGAAGCTTTTCTTTCATTAACGTTGTGCTTCACAAAGTTAACACTGTTAACTTCACATATTGTTGAAATTACAAGACTACCCAGATAATTATACCCTCATTCATGAAGAACTTGTATTTTCTCTATTTGGACAACATTTCATTAGTTGTATTTTTAATTTATGTATAACATTTAAAGTTAGTTTATCATTGTGAAACAAAGACATTGAATAGAAAAAAAAAACAAATTGATTATTTTGAAATATCCAAGTAGAAAAAAAAAATGTGATAAAAAAAGGGGCATAAAGACTTTGGTGAAAAGTATATGATTCACATTGTCCTAAATAACTAAATTGCACCCGAAAATTAAAAATGAAACAGTAGAGTAAAAATGAGTGGGCATAAAATTGTTGTGACAAGAAAATCCTAAAAATTCCGTGTAAGATTAAAGACCTCCTTTGAAACCGCCTTCAGTCAACCGGCAACTCACTCCTTTCTGCCCGTAACTTTGGAAAACACCCGCAATCTTTCTCTCTCTAACTCACTCACTCACTCTTTTTCTCAAATCCCCATCAATTTTATTCATCATTCTGCAAATCCCAGATTTTATTTTCTATCTTTGGTTCGGATGATCATCTAGCAGCTACAAACTCAAGGAGAAACTTTTTAATTTCTTCTCAATGTTCAATAATACTTCCATGGAAGGCAAGCTTTATGTCCCTTTTCTTGTTTTTTGCATTTCTTTTTTCATAATCTTTGATGGGTTTTTTGTAAACTGTGATAACCCTTTACCTGATAATCAGCTCCTTCCTAATTGCAATGATAATAATATTGATAAACATAGCAATAACAATGACAATGATAGTGGTGACCCTTTTCTGCACAATCAACACCAATCTCAAATTGATAAGCTTGAACAACTGGTGAAGAATTTGAGTGAGCTAGTTACAAGATTGGAGTCCAAATTTGATGATTCAAAAAGCTATGTTAATAACAAAGACAAGGGTGATAGATCAGCTCATATTGTGGGGAGAGATGTTGGAATTCATGATGAGGGCTCTAAAGGTGAGGTTGGTGGTGGTGGTGCTGCTGCTGCTGCGCCTGGGAATCGATTGAAGGCGGGTTCCATCACAAAGTACAGCCCTTTTTGGTCTGAGAAATTTCAGTTTATGTCGGCTGTGAGTTTGGATTCAGTTGCTACTAGTGTTAATGTTTTACCCTTTCGAGATTACGAGGGTGCTAGTAAGTACATCGCGGTTGGCGATGATAGCGGCCGAGTTTACGTCTTTTTGAGGAATGGGGATGTTTTGGTTGAGTTCAGTACCTTGACTGATTCACCTGTTACTGCTATGCTTTCTTATATGTCAGCTTATATGAACGAGAGCGTGTTGGTTACAGGACATAGTAATGGGGTTATTTTGGCTCATAGGCTTTGGGAGACGTCGCTTGCTGAGGATTTGAGTTCCCTTCACATGGAGAATCATGTGGCATTGGATACGGGGGAAGCTGGGTCGATTGGCGCCCCAGTCTCAATCTTGGAAGTCCATCATGTTGCTAGATCTAGATACATTTTGTCAGTGGAAGGGAAGGGGAAAATCAAGGTTTTTAGAGAGAATGGTACTTTGTATGGGTTGGCTGTGCCAACGAGCCGCCCCCTGGCTTTCCTGAAACAAAGGCTTTTGTTCTTGATGGAGAAGGGTGCCGGATCTTTGGACTTGAGGACTATGAAGATTAGGGAGACTGAATGTGAAGGTCTGAATGATTCCACAGTGTCTAACTATGTGTTTGATGCTACTGAGCGGTCAAAGGCATACGGGTTTACATCATCTGGCGAATTGATTCATCTATTATTATTAGGTGATGTGACGAATTTCAAATGCAGGGTTAGATCCAGGAAAAAGTTTGACATGGATGATCCTCTTGCATTTCAGGCAATCAAGGGATACTTACTAATCATAGGCCAAGAAAAGATCTATGTGTATAATGTTTCAACTCAGCACTATAGGTCTGGTGCTCCTCGTCTTACATTTTCTGCTGGTATAGAGGAGATCAAATCATCATTTTTACCTGGTCAAGCTGTGGATGAGAGCGGGAAGGAAAAAGCAATACCACTAATAGCTAGTGACCGTGAAAAGCTTGTTATTCTTGGTCTTGGAGGAGGATATGTTGGAATGTACCGTTCAAAACTTCCAATTACCAGAGGAGAGTCCAGCGCAGTACTCTGGACAAGTCCTGTATTGTTCTTCATACTCTTCCTCTTTGGAGCATGGCAGTTCTTTGCCAAGAAGAAGGAAGCACTTACATCATGGGGCCCAGATGATCCCTTTAATTCCACCTCGGTCACGAGTGGAGGAGCCTCATTAGGGTCTGGGTCAGGAGAAAGATCTTATACTGATTCGTCATCAAGAAATGCTGACATCATGGATATGAGGAATAATGGTTTACGAGGTCCTTCAAGAAGGTATACTTCTCCATCCCGATATCCTGGTGGAGGCAGCTCTTTTAGGCCAAGTGCTGTGGACACTAGCTCCAGACCGTTATCTGTTGATCCCAATTATAGAGCAACCTCGGAGCTGAAATTCAGAGGTTCTAATCTAGACTCTTCTGCTTTCCCCAAACGTAGAGAGAACATGTATGATGATGGAAATTGACTTGCAAGATAGATCGATCAGGAAGTGTTGTAGCCTGCTAGGTGACAGGTGTTTTCACTGAATTTTGTTTTTGTTCCATGTTCTATCAATATGTGTTCATATGCAGTATTTCTGTTTGAGCCTCTACCCTAGTTGTAATTTTGAAATACAATAATGCTAGAACTTATTATAGTTCTATCCATATATTTCCACAGGGGTTATGCTTTTCTTTAGGAGAACGTTATTATAATGCTCAGAAAGCATATTGTCATACACTTTTCTTTGTCAATTGCAGTTTTTTGTATTTGTAAAATTTCTTCTTTTTTCCTACACATGATTTTCAGTGATTGTGAGGAAATTTTGATTTCTGCTAACAAACGAACAATTGTTACCAATTCCTCAAAGTATAGTATTGCTTTAGCTTCCACTTAGAATACACATTCTTGGTACTGGTAGGTATTCCATCAATTCTTAATACTACCTCCGTTACATGTTTTGTGCAACATTTGCCAAAAACGGATGCTACACATTATGTGCAACAAACCAAAACTTTCCCTTTTAGGTAATTTTTTCTAAGGAAATTACCAATAAACCCTTACTAAAATACAATTAACACATTAATTCATATCTTATTAGCTTATTAACTACCTAATCATCCATCATTACAACCGTAACCCACATTCTCTCTCCTCCCTAACAACCACCTCCACCACCAACACCAACACCACCACGTTTTCTCTCTCCTCCCTCTCAGCCACCACTACTTTTATCTCCCTTCTCTCTCAACCACCAAACCACTACCGTCGTCCAGACCAAGTCGCCGACCTTCTCGTCGGAGTCTCACAACCACCAGCAGCCTTCTCGTCGCGCGCGTGGAGTTGCCGGCACTTTCTCCTCCCCATCGTTAGAGTCGCAGCCGCTTTCTCTTCTCTTGTTAAAAGTGTAGCCCTTCCTCGAAATTGAAATCCTAGACAAGATAATTTGATTTTGAGCTTGAAACCTTAGATCTAAAGCAAAAATGGTGAAAGATGGGAGGAAAGGTGCAATGGTCGTTGCGGTGTGGCCCGTGTGGGTGTGGGTAGCATCGCGGTGTGAATTCGAGTGTGGTGGGGTGGGTTTCAGATCTTGGTGTTGGTGAGAGGGTGATTTCCGTCGGGTAGGTAGGAGATGGGTTTTTAGATCTTGATGGTAGTGGGGTGGGTTGGTATGGTGGTTTCGGTGGGTTAGGGTGGTGTGGCTTGCGGTTGTTGTGGTCGGTCGTTCATGAGTGTGGAGTGAGCTGCTATGGTGGTTTCGGTGGCGAGGTTGTGTAGTGGGTGCTGCTTGCGATTGTTGTGGGTGGTGGTGGTGGTGCAGTGTGTGGCAGTAAAGCCAGTAATGGTGGGGTGGAGCTATTTAACTTATTTATTACTCTATAATCACATGCCATACAATTTGCTAATTGTTCTTTTCATTTTTTTCTTGGGAAATGTGCAACCCTCTTTGTTGCACAAAACATGTAACAGAGGTAGTACTCAATATCTCCATTTTTCTGAAAGTGGAAAATTCTGTAGATGCAGTTTTTTTTGTTGGTTTCCTACATACATGCTGATGGACGAAAAATTCCTACAACTGATTAAGGTAAACTTTTGAGACACTAACATATTGTTAAGAAGCCAATGATAATTAAGTTATAGGGGATTCTGATTTCAATAATACATTGGATACACGGTATTTGAACTTCTTACTACAATTAATTGATAATTTGTTAAAGTCGACAATAATACAAAGATGTACTTCATATAAATCTGGGAAAATAGTAAAAATAAAAAGAAAGAATAGAAAAGAAACCAAGCAAAGATAACATACCTATTTTTCCAACAAAAAATAAGAAAGAACGCACACAAAGCCTTAAAGCCTTAGAAATGCATGCTTTACAAAAACTTATAAAGCAGTTCATTTTTAGGAACTCAGATAATACAGTATGATATTCAAAGTAGCAAACCTGAAGCACACACTAGTTCACAGTTTATAACTTTATACAGAGTATTAATGTATTAGGTACAAAGTGTACAACAAACAGCTTAAATTTTTTTTTTTTTTTTTTTGTAAAAAATCATCCTCCTTGCATAACTTTAAAATGTGATGCAGCAGGTACTTTTGCTGTCATATAACTTAAATACACAGGCTTCTTACAGCAGCGAAAAACAGTCTCGTCATCCACTTTCACAAATTCGTGTCACACCCGAGGGGTTATTTCTTTTTTTTACTGTCCTCATGCTTGATGAGCTGAACTGGAGCAGCAGGTATCCCAAACCACCACTCTCTTAGTCTCCTCAACCACCTGTAGCTGCTTTCCCTTCTCAAAGGCATTTCCCTAGTGTAGGGCTCCATTAGAACAAAAAGGATTATAAATCTGAAAGGCACTAGTATGAACAATGCCGCTGTAAGAAGAAAAAAGATGGAAACCCTATATGTGGCCTGAGGAGCAGAAGAAGATAAAGGTTAGGACACAAATAAGGAAATCAAAATGAAAAAGGTAGTAAGAGGATTCAAACTTCAGAACTAAGGGTCATGGAAAGCTTTAAATGGAGCTAGTAGAAACATAGCTATGCCTTAATTTATGCTTAATTTCATAGGGGAGAGTGAGCGAGGGCAGCCACATACCATGCAATTGAAGTGGGGTCAGACGCAAAACCGTTGCCAAGGAGTCATGATCTGGGTGTTGTGACACCAGAATGGTGCACTCTTGCTATTTGTTGGCAAGGGTTCAAGCCTCGTGGGGAAAGAGGGGGGGGGGGATTGTGCAGATAGGCGATATTGCAGAGAGATACAAGCAGGCATCTGATTTTGAAAGGGACACTCTTGCCTAAGAGCAAAGACAAGGGTTGATTTGGGGATTTGGGCCCTTTTAAGTAAGTAGCACATAAGCACACATAAAATTAGAAGAGACCGATGATGAGAAAATTGAGTTGCTGCAGGACTGTAGTGGTTTTGGGGTGCTTTAAAGCGGGTGACGAAACCCTCAAAAGCCTTGGAAACTAATAAAAAAAAGTCCTAGAAAGTATAAAATGAGAAAAGGAAGGTTGGATTCTATTCTTTCCGTTATGCCTTGTTCTCATTAGGCTTGTGGGAAAATATTGGGTGTTATAGTAAATCTCACAAATAAAAATCTAAGAAGCAAGGATACTCGAAAATTCTAAAAGACAGCTATTAAGGGAAAAAGGGATCTTTCTCAAAACATTTCAGGCACAAAGTACAGAAATTTATGCATCCATTTGTATGTCTTTTAAGCATGCTAATAATTTTCAAAAGCTATCTCTATCAGATCATCAAGCATGACAAATCTTGTTTCTGAGCATCCCATCTACGATGGACATACTCTTCTCACATGTACAAAGAAACTAATTGATGGGCATAAGTATCAATGCATACACTCATAATCCAGAAGAATAGATGAAAACAAATGTCAAATCAGATGTCACTTTCTAATCTCCGTGATGGATATAATACTACCTAGATTTCTTTTTAGCTGCAACAAAAGGGTATTTTTTGTGAGATAAAAATTCACTTGTTGCAACTATAAAAGTAATGGAGGTAGTATGAAATTCCGATTTTCATTCCCCCTCCCCCACACACACACACAAAAAAAAAAAAAAGGGTTGTTTCCTACTTCACATAGGAATCTCATTCCAAAAAAGTATAAGCTTTCTTTCGTTTAAGAGATTACAAAAGATTGCTTCTTAAATTTCAATATACACTTGTGACATTAATCTTTCTCAATGTCTAGCGATTAATATTAGTGAAAAATACACATTCAGATATCTATATATAGTAAGTTGTAATTAGCAAAAAACTACAGAACAAAAAAATCATAGAGCTGACAAAAAAGCAAAAACAGAAGTCGAGTTCAGTTATTCGGATGGGAGAGATACCTCTGGAAGTACAGCCAATAGAAGGGCTCTCATCTTCAGGAGAACAATATTCACAGCCTGGACCAGCGTTTCTACCTGAGAAATTGCTTCCTGTAATGTAATCAGCTGCTCCACAGCATTCTTATTGGGAGGGGCTATGATTCTGAAGGCATCTACCAGCTTCCCTTTGTTGGCCAAACGGTGCCAAAGCATAAGCACCGCAAGGGAAACAAGAATGAATGGCAGCACAAACTTAAACCATCCACTGAAAAACAAAATGATGAACTCTAGTCACACATCTGGGAGGACAAAAGAAAATTTAAAAAGGGTATAGATAATACAACCAGTCGGCCACATCCCAAATCCCAATGATAAGCTTTAAAACTTCCACATAAAAACGGACTTATATTCTACTCCCTCCGGCCCATAATGCTAGACACAGTTCTCATTCTCATCCATCCCAAAATACTTGACACGTTACTAAATATGAAATGGGACCACTAACAAAAAAATACTTTCCCACATTTTATGTCTCCTCATCTACCCCACTCCCACCCACTTGTTGTTTTCTTGCAATATAAAAATACAAAAGAGAATCTAAAATACAATAAACAAATGTTTTAAATGGACCCACTTGTAGTTTCCTTAAACTACGTGTCCACCCCAACGTCCCAAGTATTCTCGGACGAAGGGAGTAATAAGCATCCGTGGCAATCTCATTCAATAACGATGGAAGTTATAGTCGCATCCCACAAATAAGCTTTGACATTTTAAAGTCTATGTCTACATAAAAACGAGCTTGTGTTCTAATTAAGTATATATTGCAATCGCAGAGAGCATAATGAAATAGACTAACATACGGAAGGGTAATATTGGTAGTCTAGTATTATTAGGTTAGAGTCTTTAGCTTTAGTATAAATAGATAGAGGAGAAAAAGTAGAAGGTAGACAGAAATTTGGTGTAAACCTTTTGGAGAGTTATGGCCTAAAGCCATTAGCCCATTATTGGAGAGTTGTGACCTAAACTCACTATCGAAGATTGATAGCCTTAAGCTATTACATTATCCCTTGTAACCCTTCCACCATTATCAATCAATCTAAAAGCTTTCTTATTTATAAATTTGCTAGTTAAAATCCGAAATCAGTGTTGTTACACTGACTTTACTGGGTGACCGAACTCAGTTCATTACACATAATAAGATATTTAAGGTCCTAAAATCCTATTAAGGCCCCACATGGCAACCTTGTATTGTTTCATAAGTAGGTTGATGACAATTCCCTTCAACTATGTCTTAACTCTTAAGGCTTAAGCATACAAACATTAAAAATGATTAGATTCTGACACATTATGAGTGCCAATCATCATGTAAAGTGTGATTTCAATATTTCAAATCTGA